AATTGCGTAAGAGTTAAATGTAGTAGATCTTTATGTTCTAAAAATATGATGCACGTGATGTTTTGATCATGGTCATGCAAAAAGATGTAAGAAACGAATGTGCCGCTCGAACTCTGTTTTGCTCGGACGGAGTCTGACCGCTGGGATGGTAGCTTCGCGGCCCTCGGAACATTGCGTACGGATCACGTCGATCGTTCCGCTAGATTTTGATTTTGCATGACCGTGATCGACAAATCACGTGCACCATATTTTCAGTCACCGAAAGTTACTCCGACGCACTTATTAATTTTGTTTCTCGCAACCACTTCCAGGGTATTATTGGTGGCCTCTGGCTGGCCGCATTCGAATTTGTGAAGACGCCCTTCAACACGCCCAGCCCGCTTTCGGCCAATGGCGCCTCCTCATTGGCCTCCTATATACTTCCCAATGAATGGCTGAACTCTCTCTATATACGGCTGTGATGGTGGCGTTTGCCACAAAGAGGGTCTATAGGTTGTATTTAGTGGACGCCATATCTGAGTGAACTGTTCATGGCGCATGCTCAGAACGAGCTCACATTTATAGGTTGATAAGACCGGCAATCTTTACGGTGCGGACTGCACGTTCCAAAAGTACTGTGAAGCTTGCCGCCAGCACGCGCTCAGCGGTCGCGAACACAGCATGTGGCCGCTAGTGAATACTCCTTATAGACCAATCTCACTAAGCATTCCGCGCATGCGTGACGCGGCCATAATTGTAGTTCATAGGAGGCTGGCGCCAGTTCACGAGACAGCTCGTGCCGCCTCGCGCTCTTTTCGCGCAGACCCTCAGCGGGATTGTCGCGCTTGCAGAAAGACTACAGTTCCCAGAATGCATGCCGGCAGCGGTGGCGTAATGAAAAAGTGGCTATGAGATCAGTCTATGGGGTTAGTAAAGCTAGTGGCGCCTCGCACTAAGCTCTTCACGGTGTTCTGTCTGGCCTTGTACACCCGCCGGCAATTTGAAGGTGAACACCTTACCTGATTTCTTGCCTGTTTTACGGCTCCCGGAAGCTATATTAACTCTCAACGTCTCAAATGGTACGTGATCCCAGGGTCTAAACTTTGCGTTCTATCCCTCTTCTGGAACAGAGCTTGTTTAAAAACTTGCAGGGGCGTCAAAAACCAGAAGAGGGCTGCTCACCTTCATATCGCTCACGGGTGTACGTAACAGTGGCGCACGATTCTTTATCGCTGTAGAAAACGTTGATTTCGCTCTTGGACAACGTGCCAGAGTCCAATGGTGAAGTTTCAGGGCACCGCGGGATAGCGAACATGTTCGGGCCACCCTGCCTCTTGTCAGCTCGTTGTCTCCCTCGTGTGGATGCAACCGCGGACGTGTCGTCACGTGACCAATCCGTTCGTGGATCAGTCCGTTGTGTGGATCGGCCACGATTAACATAGGAAACATTCGAAGGAAAAACACTGATAAAGGTTGGATTACTTTCTTTCAGCACGAAGGATAGGGTTAAGCGTCTGCTGGTCCCTTCGTCATTCTTCTGAGCATTGGCTTCGTTCATTCCATCCATCCATCCATCCATCCATCCATCCATCCCCCCCCCCCCCCTTCCTCGTTTGTATAAGCCAATGGCTTAAGACCTAAAAAAAAATCATGCCCAGGGACCTTAATTTTTGAAGTCCTATAATACATGCAATGCAGTATTTTAGGTATCATCGCTCAAATATTTTTTTACAGAGGTTAAACCGTTTCGAGGAGCCCGAAGAACCTTTCTTTTTATAAACTTTCCCTCAGATTGCGCGGAGAAATAGGTCCCGTGGCCTGCGTCGATTTTCCCTCTAAAATTATCGGGGAAACTAAATTGGCGTATAGGTCACGTGACGTCAATTTTCCCGCTAAATTTGGCGGAGAAACGGAATTGGTGTCACGTGACGTCCGGTCACATGACATCCATTGACGTTACGTGACCTAAACAAAAGTTCAGTTTCCTCGCTAAATTTAGCGGGAAATGCACCGACGGACGGAAGGACGGAAAAAACTTTCAGATTGGGGGTTCCGTTAAAAAAAATTCTGGTATTAAGTGTTCGGGACCTGCAAGCGCGCTCGGGTAGTAAAGCGTCCTTCACGTCAACGAGCTCGCGCTTGCAGCTACAAGCTTCTCTACAGCAGTTTCTGGTGAACCGGAGCGAAGGAACTCTCTCGTCTTGGGAAGGGCGGCTAACCAAAATGACGAAACCGCAAATTCAGTTGCGTTTCTTTTCACGCCATCCATGTCGGATTGGGGGGGGGGGGGGGGGGGGGGGGGGGGGGGAAGGAAACACATTTGGCGTATACTACTAGGAAAATCACGAGAAACTAGGACGGTCGAAGGACCACTCTCGAGATTGGCGAAAATGAAACACTGCCAAAAACCAGCAATGATCGCGCCGAAAGACTGTGACGAGGTGGCCAAGCCTCAGGGGTGTGCGGCTTGCGCCCATGCTCGCGCGAGCGTAACCAACGCGCTCTGATTACCATCTTAGAAGTTTCAGAAGCCCGCGAACGTCAGAGCTGGCGGCCGTCAACGCTCGAGGTAGAACCCAAGTGGCGTTTGTCGATGAATTCCCCTGGATTTAAAATTACAACAAAGGGCAGCGTTTTTTTTTTTTTCCTGATCCTTTCCGATTGAATGTGAGGTTAGAGTGAACTCGATATAAAGGGGAATTCGAAATGGAGTAACGACGAATACTTATCGTACACTGGATATTGCACTTGTCTTCAACTATGGAGGGGTGGGGGGTGGGGGTTGAGTTATAGTTTGAGTCACTGTTTGGTGTTTGCAAATGTTCGCTCCTGACTATGACATGTATATTTAGATGACTTACGTCACTAATTTATTTTGGATGTATATGATTATCGAAAAGGTCACTGCGAGGGAAGCAATGATTGTTTCGTGAAGTACGTTGCTGGGTTAGTTGGTGAATTTTTCGGTACAAATAAAATAGCGCAGATGGGACAGGGACAAGCGCCTGGTCTGTCTTTCTTGCTTGTCCTTGTACCATTTGCGCTATTTTATTTCTACCGCCAAAGGGACTGTTTGGCCGGGGGTCGAAGTTTATTCTCCCCGAAAAAAACGAACAAATACGTCCTAAGATATTTTTGTTTTGTTTTTAGATCATGTTGAAAATTATCCGAGACTGCGGTAAAAGGTGGGAAACTTAGTAGAAGTATAATTACTTCAGATGGAATCCCTTACTTGGTGGAATTACTTCAAATAGAATCACAAAAAAAAAACAAAAAACGCCGAGAGAAAGATAACAATTTAATAACACGTTACACACGTAGAGCGCACTCACAAGTCGCAGCCCTATGCCATTTCCTATCAATATCGAGAAAACGCATTGTCCTGCGGTATGCATCTTTCCATCGCTTATCACCCGGGCGAAAAATGCCGAGTCGCTGGACTGTGGACGTATGCGCGGGGTCCTACATACCGTTGTATGGGATAAAAAAAAAAAAAAAAAAAAACGCATCTCCACGTGGTGAATGATGTTGATTGGGGCGAAGCTCTGGTGGTGCTTGTCTGGACGCTGAGCCGCAGCATGCCGAGCCTTTCGTTCGTTTTCATCCATGTCACGCTGCGGTCAAATGCTCAAATGCGTATATAACCACGTTCATACTACCACACATTCTCTTTCTGACATGGATGAAAACGAACAAAAGGCTCGGCATGCTGCGGCTCACCGTCTACGCATACAAGCACCACCAGAGCTTCGCCCCAATCAACATCATTCACCACGTGGAGATGCGTTTTTTTTTTTTTTTTTTTTTTTTTGCCCTACACGAGCACGGGAGCACGTGCTCACGTGCTCGTGACCCGACGGCGGACGGACATACGGACATGGCTAGCCCCTGAGGAGCTTCGCCCCTAAAAGCATTTGATGCTTTAAAGGGGAAATGCAAACGATTTTGTACTTTGCGAAAATACCGCTTAGAACGGATCCCTGACGTGTGACCTGTGGAACAGCCTTTCGTTTTTCACCACACGCAATCGAAGTCACAGAAAAAAATTAAAGAAAAACGAGCAGCGTTCACTCGCTCAACTCGCAGCCAGAGCAAGCGGCCACGTGATCTGGAGCGAATTATACGCCGCCAATGTTGATCATAGCCACGCGCTGGGGTTGGCAAGGCACAGGACACGCGCTGAGTTCCACACATAGTTATGGTCTGGCTATTGTCATTGCAGCGATTGGACACGGGCCGCTACCCGAATACTTCTCAAGCTATCGATTATCACGTTCCCAAATCGGGTGCCCACGCAATGCTCGGGTACAATCTATGAGCCGCATTCATATATCGTCACTGGGCAGTACTGCAAGCGGCCAGCTACGTCATCAAGTTTCGCGAAGCAGAGAGTGAATTCAAACGCTCGGCTTTTGTCCTTGAAATTACACCGCAACAAAGTAGTTTCTTGGTCAGTGGCTTGTGTGCGCGTATGCTTGAGTCCCACTAGTGCCAGTAAGCTCGTGTAAAGTGAAAAGCATTCCAACTGAATATTGGTGCTCCGCCCCTTTAAAAACAGTGCGCTCTGAGTGACACTAGCGAGTTTTAGTAGACTGCTTTCGTGCGTCCGCTCCGCTCAGCGAAGCGGCACAATCGTCACTGCACATGCGCGGCCGCTCTGAGCTTGAGCTTGGCCGGCTTCGCATGCACAATACGGCAGGCACGGAGCGGAAAGTGAACATGATCTACTGAAAGCCCCTAATGAGCATGGTGGAAGGTTATGCCCAATGTCACAGCGCAACCTTTTTGTTTCGCCTTGTTGTTTGTTTAGTAGATTCTAGCTATTGGCTCTCCCGCTCTCCCAAGTTCCCAAGTGCCTTGTGGGAACGTAGACAGATACCATGACACGTGCATCCGACCTCGTCTACTCCAGCATTCATGTCGCTTCACGACCTCCACGTGCGAGAAGCGTGCGATAATGCGCCCGACCCTTGGCATGTTCATCGCAGCGCGACAACGGCGCCAGCGGAACGATATGCGCATAAGGACGGAGAACGAGCGCCTATCGCGTCCGCAAACTGATATGCAAAGTGCCCTGACACCCTTTTTGATGCCGGGATAGCCAAGGGCCAGCCTGCCCGTTGTCAAGTCCCATTTCATTGTCTCGACGTGGTTCCAAGTAGTGAGGCGTAAGTATCCAAAAAGGTTGACGGGTTACTGTTTGTAGTTCTTTTTTTTTTTTTGGCGGGGGCGTTTGAGTGATTTCAAAGTTAAACACCGGAACCACCAGAGCTATACCTGTTCAATTGATTCGAGCGCCATCGAGAACCGACAATATTGCATGATCTAAATCAAATATAGGTTTGTTAGTGCGAATGGCGCTTGTACTGAGTTAATTGGCACCGACGTCGGTAACTCGTTGGAAACGAGTTTGCGCGCATTTTTACAACGATGCGATCCTAAACGGGTGGTTATCATTTGAGCCCGTTATCGTTTCGACCTTCTCACTTGGCCCTTCTCAAAACAACCATTCTCAAAAATATCTTCTCTCTTGGACCTGTCGCAGTTGGCCCTTTCCCGTTTCGTCTTTCTCATTCCAACCCTCTTTATTTGGGCCCGTTCTCGTTTCGCCCTTTTCACCTGGCCCTTTTCAAAGCAGCCATTCTCAAAAACATCTCGCTTTGACTCGTCGCACTTTACTCTTTCTATACCGAAATCGTTTTCCTAGGGTAATGTTAATAAATATATTGATATAATTTGTGTGTGTGTGTGTGTGTGTTTGCCACGCTACAGGCGTACTCTCTCTGCCAAGGATTTTAGCAGTGCGTCGAGGTCGTCGTGAAAAGCTACTAGCTGACAATAAAACAGACCAACTATTTATCGCAGCCAGATCGTATTCCGAAATGTCACGTTGTTTGAGGTCTCTCGACTTGGTACAATGCCACCACTTCTATAATGCAGTGGTTCTCAAAAGGGGGTCTGCGAAGGCATCCTAGGGGTCCGCGAAGCCCTGTCTCATCAGTCAGGCACGGCAATGTTAATTGTCTTTGTTCACGTTGAAAAGAAACGTTCCAATTTTCGGGAGAGTACTCTCGTGTGTATGTCAATGAGATAAGTCTACTTCACACTAGCAATTAGTTATATCAATTTATTAAATAATTATCATGATAACCTATACCTTTCTATTCCCCTCACCCCGAACGGGGTCCTCCATCATCTCCGCCTTTCTACAAGGGGTCCGCGAAACATCAATGGTTGAGAACCACTGCTATTATGTATGCCATTTCTGTTCAAACAAAGTTTGCAAATTATATGTTCATCGCTCTTTTTTTCTCGTTTGCTTAGAGGAAGGGAAGCAGGCGTCAATGTACGATTGTCAGTGCGTACCTCTTCACATAACATATATCTGATGGTATGTTGGGAGCCCAAGCAAGGTAAGGCTCATCAACAAAGCCGCGAAGGCATAACGACGTTAGAAGCATGCTGAACTAGTGTCATTCGGTCGTAGAGCGAACGGGCAAAATGAGAATGGGTCCAGTTGCGAAAAACACGATTCGGATCTTATGAGAAGGTTCAAACGATAAGGACCAAATGAGAATCGGTCGAAATGCGCAAGGTTCAGATGCGAATGAGACGTTTTGAGATACACTGATCATAAACATGTTTTTTTAGAGCATGTCCTGCCCAAAAACAAGGAACGTCGTCACTGCCGAGGCGGCAAACTATGTTTGGGAAAACTCCGTTTCTCTGCACCCTGCGCAGTGGAAGCTGATCAAGGTGATGCCGCTAAGTCTGCGCACTGTCACTGCTTGTTGTCATCTCTACGCGTCTCCCCTTTCGCTGTGTGCCCCCTTGTCAGTTCTACGTATCTCCGTGTGCATGGCCGTTTTAGGGAGCTTTTGCGGATTTGGCGCGTTCCGATAACGGTGCCCGATATGTGCCGTCGACGCCGCGTGGGAGCTGCATTATCGGACGTTTGGGGTAAACGAGAAACCAAAAAATAAGTGGTGTCGTGATATCGGCGCTATCGTGAAGATGGGAGGCTGCATGCAGTGTGTATCTGGCTGGCTCCTAATAGAGAATTTTCGTAGACGTTCGGATACCCCCGATAACAATACGATGCATGCGCAAAGGCGATTGCGCAGTGCAGGGTATCGTTATTGGAGTCATCGGAACTATCTATTAAAACACCCTCTCTATTGGTACGGTTCGTTTTACGAAACAATTGCCTCGCAGTAGTTCTTTTTACGTTACAAAATATTTCGTTTCCTCGAGATACTACAGTTTATTCCCGTAAGATTACAAAAATATTACTCGATCACAATTACCATTATTCACAGTCAAAACGTTTTGGATTGGATTACACGATTACTGGACTATAAATAATTCACTCGGTCTTAATTCCAGGAGCAGCGGCTACTTTACCGATAAGTCGCAGAAGTCACGTAAACATGGCGGTTTATCGTCTTATTTTGCAAGCACGATTAATTGATAGTATACGCGAAGCTTTGAGCTTTGTGGATTCCATGGAATCGGGGGAATTGTTCAAAAACACAGAATTATTATTATTATTTTTTTTTTTGCAAGCACGATTAATCGACAAAAGTACGTGACGCTTTGAGCTTTGTGTGCTAGGTATGATTAAGAGAAATTGTCTAGAAATTACATAACTGTTTTGTATCTAATCATGGAGGCAAGAGCCAATATGGAGCTTTTTTAACGCCTTTCCCCCTCCGCTATGCTTTCCGCAACGATGCTTTCCGCCTTGTCTGCAGAGCAGTGTTGTGCCAGATACTCAACAGATGTATTTAATATACTAAATACTCATTTGAATACTTACTTAGAGTAGTATTGAAGTTGCTTTGACTACGAACTATCTTCTGCAGAGTGATACTTAGAAAAAGTAATTGAATCACTTTCGAAGATACTTGGCAAGTAGGTTGCAAACCGGTATGTTTGAATAAAAAAGGTAAAAAGGGGGTGCTCTACTTCTGAGAACTTCGCTGAAAAACACATTCTGCTGTGACCTTCACGACTTCCAAAAAGCGCGTTTAGCTGCTGCAATCGAAGTTTACTTTTAACTATTTCGGATTATGCAACATAATAGGTTCCGAAAGATATTAGAGAGTTTTAGAATAGGGGGCCCCAAAGTTTAGGGGCCCCAAAGAAATAGGGGCTCACCACTGCGCATGCGCAGAACCTAAACTCCGTTTGGGGTTTTGGGTTGGCGCTCGCCGCCAACCACTGGTCTCTATGACAATTGCTGGATCGCGCTTCCCCGCTTGTTCGCTGTCGTGCGTGTGAAGCCATCGGACGGCCATCTTGCTCGCAGACGACTTGCGGTTTTGCTAGCGTTGCAGTGGCTGGCGGCGGCGTGCTATAGACACGTTTCTACTCGTTCGTCGTCATTCGTCAAAGAGGTTTTTCAAGACCCTGTGTAACCGTTGAGACTTGCCATTGTGAACACGTGGAAAATTTTACAAAAGTGCAGTGCCGCAGGAAAAAGGCACAACTCGTCGAAAGCACGTTTCGCCGGTCTCGCGGCGGGATCAAAGCTTCCTTGGCCCGCCGAAGTGCTGCGTCTCTGTGAATTCGCACGCTTGGATACCAATCAAGAATCGACGCCGTGTGGATGTGTTTTGCGAGTGCAATGTGCGTGAAGCCGTATGTAAAGGCACAAATCGTCGAAAGCAAGCGTCGCCGGTCTCGCGGCCTGATCAAAGCTTCCTTGGCACGCCGAAGTGCTGCGTCTCTGTGCCTTCGCACGCCTTGGATACTGATCAAGATTAGTTTCGGCGCAATGTAGATGTGTTTTGCGAGTGCAATGTGCGGGACGCCGTATGTACCTCTGGAGCAGCGTTTCACTTTTACTCTGACTACTGTATTTGTAACTTGCGGCACTTGTGGTCCAGAAACGAGCTTGATCCAGTGTCCAGTGGTGACGGAAGAGGGAGGGAAGGGGGCGGCATCAGCGGCGCATTTTTGTTTTGTTTTATTTACTAGACGCTTATGGCAATCAAGTCAGTAGTACAAAATCTTACAGAGACGCAGTACTCTGGCGTGCCAAGGAAGCTTTGATCACGCCGCCGGACTGGTGAAACTTGCTTTCGACGAGTTGTGGCTTTTTCCTGCTGCACTGCGCGTTCGTAAAAATTTCCATGTGTTCGCAACGGCAAGCCTTAACCCTTACGCGGGGTCTTAAAAATCTTCTTAGTATAGTTCGAGTCGAATAGGGCTGCGTCATTCTAACCTTCGCAGTGCATGGAAAAGCCGCAACATACCGGTTCTCATTGTTAAAGCTAAAGACGGCATTGGTCTATTCGACTCGAAGCACTGTTTGCACACCCCCCAAAAGAAAGTGTCGTGACTTGCAATCTCTAACGGCTGGTTCACAGACTCGCGACTGCTTACGACCGTGTGCCTTAAGACCTCTTTAATATCTTACGACGAGAGAACAGACTGGTGGCATCTATCGGGTTGCCGTGGAACACTTGACAGTTCCGTGTATTTCCAATTCTTTTTTTTTTTCTGCTAGCATCACTTTTTTTTTGCTAGAAGAACTTTTGACAATGTAATAAACGATCACTTCTCATAGACAGTACGCACGTTTCATCTCGCAGATACCTTAAAAACCTTCGCTCTAGGAAAGGCAGTTCCAGGGTCACCTTATAGATGGCGCCAGCGTGCGTGTGTGTGAAATCACAAGAACTTGGTCGTAAGCAAACGTGAGTGTGTTGGCCTTTAGTCGCCTTATTTTTACAACCGAAGAGCACCGGTCAACTTATGCTAATCTGGAATTATACAGGGTGCTTTTATTTTTCAGATTTGTTTTAGAAAAGCCTTTAAAGATAACTTATGCGGTTTGTGCAGGTGAGCTATACGGCCAGGGAGATACAGTATAGGGAGATATTCGCAACTATCAGTCGGCTGATTAAGTAAAATTTCTTAATTTACTTTTTAATTATTACAAATATACATATAGTTCCAATCAGAAACTTGCTTAGCCTCATCGAAAACTACTAAGTTAACTCTCTTTTAGAGCGATTTAAATAATGCCGGGGCAGCCTTTTACGGTATTCTGTAAAAACGCTCCGTTTGGACGCGTTTCTAGATTTGGGTTTCTTATCGGAGCGCATCTACGCGCCCGCGGTCCTGCTCCCCAGTGGTTGAGGCGCGCAACACACGTGCGCCTTACTTCCCTTCATTCTACGAGGGAGGCGAGGGGGTGGCTTCGGCGCCGCGACCACCGGGGAGCAGGACCGCGGGCTCAAAGATGCGCTCCGATAAGAAACCGAAATCTAGAAACGCGTCCAAATGGAGCGTTTTTACAGAACACCGTAAAATGCTGCCCCGACGTTATCCCTACTGAAAAACCCAGTGTAACTTTTCACTAACCGGATTATGGAACTGGAAATTTGTTTCTGGAAACCCGAAATACAGAATGCAGACAAATGAACAATTTTCGAGAACCTAAAATCGAGATAGAGTCCAGATAAAATCCGGATAGATTTCTAGTTCCATAATCCAGATAGTGAAAAGTTAAATTAGGTTTTTCGGTAGGGATCCTTCTCAAAATAGTTGATTTAGTGGTTTTCGATGATGTATAGCAAGTTTCTAATTGAAACTATATGTCTGATTGCACTAATCAAAAAGTTAATTAACAAAGTTTACCTAACTAGCCGAATAATTGTTGCGACTATCTCCTTGTACTATGTCTTCTTGGCCGTACAACTCACCTACACAAACCGCATTAGTGTAGCTTACTCGGTTGTTTTTTTTACACAAATCTGACGGGTTAAAAAAAAACACCCTGTATACTAACGAACCCTGAAATACTCGAAGTTGTTGCGTCCAAATATAATTAAATTTTTTTTTGTCTTTGACACACACACACACAAAGGAAACACTCAAGTTGCCGAAGAAGATTATGATGGGCGATCCGTCTCAACTCCAACTCATCCAACTTCTCCTCAAGGCAACGGGAGCCAAGAAGTATCTGGATATCGGTGAGTGCGGAGCGTCGCAACATCTCTTCTGGCAAATTTTACGCCACAAAGTCACCAAAATCCGCACTCACATGGCTCATGCATCATGCAAAGCGCACGGTGTTCGGGTCAGACACGACGTCAGAATTATGTGCAGCCACGCCTCACGCATGTTCGAAGCACGCTTGCTTCGTACATGCTCCGAACACGCCTGTTAGACAGCTTCTGTATGACCATGGTCATACAAGGAAGGCCGGAGACAGAGTCTGCAGGCTGTCTTTTATGTACGATGTGTGAGCATTGCGACCTTTATGTCACTTCTGGAAAACGCTTGCAAACACATATACAGGGTGTTCGACTTCTAATCCGAACAGATATTGCTATGAAAAAGAAAATTGGCAGGGGCACTTTGAGAGCGCTTACGCGTAGGAATGCCAAAGCATTCCTACACGCAGCGCATTCCTACACGCAGCGCGCCGCGTCTTCTTATCGCACACGGCGCTGCGGCGGTGACGTCAGACTCCCCCACTGCGCAGGCGCGGCGAACGTTGCCGGCTTCACGAAGGCTTCCGTGACGAAGCATTGCGTTGCTTTGCTTTTCTTTGTGTTTTTTTTTTTTTTTTTTATTCCCGGGGCGCGTCTTTTTTGAACTCGATCGGCCGCGTCGGCTTCCGTGACAAAGTATCTCGTATGACGCGTCGCCGCCAATTTAGGTGCCGTTTTTTGCAGTTACGGGTTTTTAGGTGCCGTTTTTCGCGGTTACAGACGCCACCGCCTCCGCTCTATGGGATAGTTAACGCTTTCGTATTAAAAGACCATGAAAGTTACTATAATACGGTCTGTGCAGGTGAGTTGTGTAGTCAGGGGGATACAATAAAACGGGCTTCAACGTCACGATAACTATGTCGCTCGACCTTTTTAACTAGTGAAAATGAACAGATTGTTCCAAGTAGAACATTGCTGAGCGTCATCGAAAACCACTAATAAATCGGTACATTTTAAAAAGACTCGGAGCCCGTGCGCTAAAGTTACCACTCGTGCAATAAGCCCAAGGCTGGGGTTGCGAAAACGGGTATGATAGGAGACGGCAAGACAGCTCGAGCGCGTCGAATTGAGATTTTTAGAACTCGGAAAAACGAAGCACGCGCACTAATTCTTTCTACAGCCGACTGATTTAGTAAACTCTATGACACTCAGCGAGTTCACGATTCAAACGATAAGCAATGTTTTATAATTAAAAAGTTAATCAACAAAATATAGTTAATTATTTGAATGATCGTGACAACTAGCCCCCTATCTTATGTCCCCCTCGCGGGATAACTGATCTGTACAGACGGCATTAATGCGGCGAGATCAGGTGCGCACTTGGGCTCTTTCGCCGTGTTTCAATGGGCGGAACGTGATCCAAAACAGTTTAAAATAAGGACTAAACGCAGACGGCAGATTTTTTCCAGCGCCTAATATTTTGACGAGCCTAATATGAAAAGCGTGCTTTCAGCTCGCAATTTGAACGAAATTTCTGTACTGCAACGTGCAGCTAAACTACCGATGTGCTCGATTTTTTAAAGGAAATCGGGTTCAACCAACACCATGCTATGCGGAGAGCAAGTCGTCTTCTTCTTGCGCAAGAGTTGCGGTGACGTCAGAAAGACGCCGATCTCTGATTGGCTCTGATTGAAGGATAGTGGGTAGACCTCAAAGCAAGCTGCCTTAAGGTCTAGCCACTATCCTTCATTCAGAATCAAACAGAGCTTTGCTTTCTGACGTCACCTCAACCCGTGCAAAAGAAGCAGACGAACTTGCGGTCCGCGCACAATGATCAAAGTGCGCCAGAAGTTCGACGTCATCACAGGGAGATCGAATGCAGACGCAGATTGGACACGAGTGCTGCGTCAGCGTTCGGCCGGGCACCAGCTCCAATCAAAGCGTCGAAGGCGCCATTCTAGTATGACGAAGTTACGTGGAGGTAGAAGAGGCCATTCACAGGCTTTGGTTACTCTAGGTGGTGTTGGTTCAACGCGTGTCGACAACGTCTGACCGAGGCCTATTGGGTGGACCGTAGAAGACGCCAACGCGTAACTCAGCTTTCGGTTGCATGTCGAAAGATGTCCTGGTCTACATTATTCCTCAGTCCTTCGCTCGCGTGCCAGGTGCCCCTTGTTGGTCTGGCATCTCAGTTCCCAAAATCTCGTGACACGTCGTCAACTTACCGCAGGAGTGTTCACAGGGTGCAGTGTCCTGGCAGCTGCGCTAGCGCTACCCCCGGATGGCAAAGTGGTGGGCCTCGATGACTGCAAGGAGTACGTGGACATCGGGAGGCCCTTCTGGAAGGAGGTGACTTCAAAACGTCTTTGATCGCACCGTCTCTATCTGGCTGCCAGTTGTATTCCATCTCACACGTTGTACGCACTGCCGGCAAAAGCGCAGACGCCTAACTTTTTTTTTTAATCTAATTATTATCATTGTTGGGAGAGAGCGATGTTGAGGATTAAATGTTTAATGCAGAAAGTTACACCGAGTCCTCCGGGTAGGAAAGAGCGATAGCGCCACCGAGCTATACTCTCTCCCTTCACCCTCACCTTTCGAATACCTAATCCGTCGCGCCACTTTGGATTTCTGAGGCCAGGCTCACGAAGAACTCGGAGAGCTCCTTAGGCTACGACAACTTAGCTAAGAAGTTCGTACGTTACGAACATCCTAAGTGGAGAAATCGGCGACGTTCTCGGGAAAACGAGAACTTTCGCTTCACCGCAAGCTATTGATCTCCGCGAGAGCCGGCTGTTGCTCGTCCAAGAGCGTCTTTGGGAACACGAACAGCAAATCGGAGAGCTCGGCATGGTTCGGAGCATGTGTATTTGGATCACAACAAGCGAAAGCGACCTTTCCGACAACGCTTGTGCGGACCGTGTCCGTGCAGCAAAATGTCGACACTACCGTGATATAAACCGGCACCCAATTCCCAGCTCTACTGCGGCAGGGATAACCGCATTGGTTGACTGCTACGAACTCGATCGCTATGGACGCATGTCATAGTTGCTAAAAGGAAACGTCCCGCACGGCTTGTTTGCAAAGCGGCGCACATGGAAACAAATCTCCGCTGCGTTCTTTGCGGCCGGCCTCCGTGACGAAGCTTCGGATATGACGCAGCCAATGGGAATAGATTGTTCGTTTCGCTGTTACAGACAACGCCGGGTTCGCTTCATGGGTAGTTAATGCTTTCGTATTAAAATATTCGGAAATACAAATACTGGGATACATGGCAAAAACAGCTAAAAGAGTGATACTGAAATACATTTATTAAATGCCCGTTGGTCCGCCCGCTGACGTAACCGAGCGACGCTGTCAACCCTATTGATTTGCTCGTAAAGAAGTGCGTACACACATCTGTAGCTGTCCTATGATTCCATCGTAACTGACGGCACTCTTACGATAATTTCAATTTTAGTTTTTTTTTTTTTTTTTTTTTTGTCGTACGCACTTTTCTTTGCCGTAAGATCGGTTCATGAATCTGGCCTTAGTAATTAACTTTACAAAATAAGCGTCGCTTCCAAAGGAGAAAATGCACGCTTTGGGAGATACTTTCGTCAGAACATTACAGGAAAGTGAAACTTCGTTCACAAAAGTGCTCGCAGAAACTAGAAACCGAAACTTCTGCCGAGATCGCGAAATAGAGGTGACTATACGAGGGTGACTATACAGGTATAAGCTGAGAGAGAGGAGGAAACAAGAGGCAGGCGGGGTCGTCAGAAAACGGAGTTCTGGTCGGAATGATTAGTGGGTGAACGCAAAGCTAGCTGACATTAATTGTTTCTATTTACTCTTCGAACGCGTTCGAACGCCAAAATCTGGCGTCCGGTATTCGGCGTTCGCGTTCGAATAGTGAGTATAGAGACAAAAGTCAAGGGTCGCGTCCCTCCTCATCGCAGCTATTGCGCGCGGTGCCACCGGTATACGATCGGTTCACTGTGCCTCAATGGCAGTTCAATTGATGTGCAAGACAATTTGATCCATCAGTTTGGATACCTTGCCCCTCAAGGAATAAGCATGGCCAAATTCCTCTGCCCCGTGTCTAAACTTTTAAATACACTTCAAAGTAGACATAAAAAAAAAAAAAGCTTTATTGATTTTTTTCTTGGTTTTTTGTTTAGTTTTAAGTGACCGCTTTGGAAACGCACTTTTTTCCAGGCTGGTGTTGAACACAAGATTGACATTCGCATAGGCAATGCCTTGGAGATCTTGGGTGAGTCGTGGCGGATTCGGACACATTCGAAAAACACTCATGAGCGTGAAACACGCGTGAGCAAAAATCTCGTAGCGTCGCTCCATCGAGCGGCGTAACCATAACAACCACCGCTAGTGATATGACGTGGCCGAATGCCTTGCCACCTAGGGAGCCTTCATGTGCGCTTTGCTAGGGTGATGCCATCCTTTGTAATACCACTCGCCGACAAACCAGCAGCCATTTGTTCCTCGGCGATAATCCGTGGGGCTTGAAACCCTCCCGGAAACAAGCACCTTATCTCAGAAGTTCGGAGCAGCGTTGTGGAACCCACGGAGGGAGGATTAGCACTTTCCCCCTCGGATGGGATTACCGATGGACACAAAGGCCACTTTCCGGCGCACGGGGAAACAATAAGAGAAACAAAATGGCGGTGGAAGAGGGTCTGGGAAAGGGAAACAGGCAGTTGGCATCACGCTATGCGAAGCGCACATGAAGGCACTCTAGTGCCACCCCGTCACAGTGTCAGCGACGGTTGATATATGGTTAGGCCGCTGAGGCGGCGAGGCGAAGTTTTTGTTCACACGTGTTAACGGTTTGCTGTCGACTCTCTCGTCAGATTGCGCCATCGCTGATGGGCAGGCGAACACCTTCGACTTTGTCTTCATCGACGCCGACAAAAAGGGCTACGACGACTACTACGAGCGTTGCCTGCAGCTTGTTAGGCGAAACGGCTTGATTGCTTTCGACAACGTAAGCGTCTTTGTCCATTTCTGAACTGTCCAGCCATCCCTAATTGCTGATTCAACTTAGCTTGTGTATATTATAGCCCTGCGTTATCCCAAAAAATGACCAGTATACTTCTGGCTATGAATCAATAAAGGCTGCTTCACACATTTGCGTCGACCGCGTTGCGCTGCGTTGTGCCGTGCGGCACAAAGCCTCCCCAATGGCTCGCCGTAGCAAAAGCTCGGCGCAAGCTGTCTTTACGAGACCCAAGTGGTTACAGTCGCACTCGAACGCAACTGTGTGGACGAGCCTTAAGGGAGGAAGCGCGCGAGAAGACAGTGACGCCGCAGTGCGATTCCTAGCAGAGACATTTTGCGTACACGTAGTATGTAGCCGCCGACGGACAGCGAGCCCAACAAGCCGATTGCTTCAGTCGTTTCTAATCAATGTATGCTTACCTGAGCATCGTGTTACACTACGGGTTCACAGTCGGCACTAACTTCTTTTACGCTAGAGATGAAAATATAAAGCACAGAGTTTCCCCTGGTATACGAACAAAAACGCACCAAAGTGGACCGGAAACGGAGGAAAACTTCCACTTCGCGGGCACAGAAAATGCCGTACATTGCAGAAAACATGCGCGCTTTGGACACTCAAGAGTTTGCTTTGGGCATGATTTAAAAATATGAATAAAGGGCTGTGCATCTCAACCTTAAGCTTATATTTTTTAATTGCGGCCATGTTGACACGACAATTATTCATTGCTTAGTAGTAGAAGGCTCATTCCCACCAACGGGCATGAATGGAATTGGTGTTAAAGTTGGTTTTGTCAGCTTTCTGAATCGCGATTTTCAGCAAGATTGCAGGGAACCTTTAAATTAATTCGATCGACATAGCACAAAGGGATTTCATTTATTATGTGAACAAGTATACAACGTGCGTGGCAGTAAAGCAGCCGAAGTGTAAATCTTCACCAAATCACCCTTTAATTACAAGTAGAAGCTAAATTTCCTTTACCGAAGCAAGCTCATGCTTAGATTTCAAAACAACTGAACCACTCATCGACTCGCGTTCGCAACAAGGGGAACCAGACGTTTCGGTACCGAACAATTTGGTGCCGGACGATTAGGCGCGGACCTTTCGGTAAGCGGACGTTTCAGTAAACTCACGTTTTAATACGCGGTCGTTTCGGTACCGGGCATTTCAGTGCGCGAGTATTTTGGGCAACGTTAACGATGCCACGCTGACCTTGCTATTTTAGGGGCGAAGCTCCTTAGGGTCTAGCCTTGTCCGTCCGTCCGTCCGTCCGTCCGGTCGGCCGGCCGGCCGGCGTCCCTGCTCAGATAAAAAAAGAAAAAATGTTTGCGCAGTCGATTGGATTGGAACCTGTGCGGGGAGACCCCAATGGATTTCTAGTCCATCGCCTTAACCGCTCGGCCACGACTGCGGGACGAGTAGGGGGCTCTGAGATATGGTAGTAACTCAAGAGCTGGAGATGTCATGGATGAAACGTTGCATGTAGCCGCTCAAAGTCTATACAGGAGAGGGCGCTGCTGTCAAATGCGTATATAATCGCGTTAAACTTTGCATGCATTGGCTCAACGTTTATAGACGAGAGGGCGCTGCGGTCAAATGCTTAAATGCGCATATAACCACGATCCATACCACACATTCTCTTTCTGACATGGACCGTTGACTTAAGCGGTGGAAATGCGTTCCCACGGCTTCTAGCGGATCCAAGCTGATCTGCTAGAAGAACCATTGGCTCTGCAGTTCACCGACCATAAAGCAGTAATAATGAAGTCGAAACGCAACCCGGAACTCAGCACTACCTATGAGTAATAAAAAAAAATCAGCACCATCAGCACTACCTATGACCAAAATCAGTATCATCAGCACCACCCGAGCTTCGCCCCAATCAACATCATTCACCACGTGGAGATGCGGTCATTTTTTTAGGCCAAACCATATGACACGGTGTCCTCTCCTGAGTAAAGGGCGATTCACACACTTGCGTGAGTCCGGCCGAGTGAGACTGCAACGGCTCGCAACGTACGGGTTGCTATGGCAACAGCTGCGTCGCCTCCGACAAAACGGGGTAGTGAAAACCGGTTTTGTTGGAGCCGGCACAGCTGTTGCCATAGCAACCCGTGCGTCGCGAGCCGTTGCAGTAGTAGTCGGTCGCACTCGACGCAAGTGCGCGAATCGCCCTTAAGCCTTCCCCAGACTTGTACGGTAGTCATTGCAAGTAATCAAATTACTTACTTTACAAGAATTAATTATTCTTGTAAACCAACTTGCCTCCTCCAAGACCTTAAAGGGGCCATGAAACGATTTTTCTGCTTTCGCTAAATACTACTCAGAATCACTCCCTAAGGTTAATAACCGAATAAACTTTACTTAGTTTTTCTTTCTAAACAATGGCAGACGGAAGATAAATTCGAGAAATATGAGCATCGTTCATCCCCTCAACTCGGAGTCGGAACAAGCGGCCACGTGGCCTGGCGCCTCTCCTATGCCGCCAACGTTCATCATAGCAACGCGCTGGGGTCGGCAAAGCTGAAAACGTGTGCTGATCTCCAGACACTGCTAGTGTTCGGTTATTATCATTACCGCAGTGGTTGGACACGAGCCACTATACCCGAGTGTCCGCCGAGGTATTGATTGTTTCGAGCCAAACTCGAGTGCTCACGTAGTTTTCGTGTCCAATCTATGAGCCGCGCTCGACTGTCGTCACGCGAGTGGTTTAGGTCCCAAGTACGTCATCAAGGTTTTTGAAGGCAAGACTGAAAGAAATAGTCCCCTTTTATCCTCGGAATTTCACCGCGACCAAGACGCTTCTGAATCAGTGGTGGTCCGTGCGAGTATACTTGTATCACACTAGGACCAATACGCCTCTGCAAAGTCATGAACATTCCTAACCGAAATCGCTTCATGACCCCTTTCAATTGTACAACCGATTCCCGAAGGCCCTAGTTAAATCTCCAACTTTGCTTTCCGTGCAGCATTTATGCTTTCTAGCACTGGTGACGTAAGAAAACTCGACAGGCTTGCAAAGACGGAGCGACCGGGAGTCGCTTGGTACGCAAGCGGCAGTTCATGTTTGTAAACAGTAAAATGGTCTATGGAGACGGAAACAGGACTACTATCAGAAGCATGCTTGCAGGGTACTTATAAATAAAACAGCAATATCATGTAATCCGTGATAGATGCATAATCTGACTCGGGTAGCACAGAGCAACGCAAACACAATTTCGAGAATGAAAGCGATCGTTCACATTCAATGGAAGTCTCGCAGTCACCGATGAGCAGTTTTTTGTTGAAGCGCGTCCAACAAACACAGCACAATAATTCAATGGACTCCGACGAAGAGAACGGCCATTACTGAAAGGTTGGCATGGATGTATTCTGGCCGTTCACGACGAAAAACCACGGCCGCGACTGCAACGCACGAAAAGCAGAAAACTAAAGAACGCTTTCCAGAAACTGCACCTACGTGGACCCCTACACATCACCATAACTTGGCAAACGGCGAAAACTGTGACCCCAGTGAACCAATGAGTGAACCCATCAGCGCGTCAAAGCGAATCACGTGACAAATTTTCGTCCAAGCGTTTTTTGTCCTACGGAGAGTGGTCACGTGTTTCGCTCCACCCCTCTGAATCGCCAGAAGCGGCTGTCACGCTCGCTCACTGCCACACAAAGACACAAAATAAGGTGGGAGCCTTAAGACGAGGTCAAAGGGAGATGGACAGTGCAGCTAATCTCCCTCTGCTGTTTTGCATAGGCCTCGTGCGCTGCCCAAGGAGCGTCGCAAAGTGGGACTCGTCAGGAATTGTTTTAGGTAGTACGAAATTGAGCGTCTCAAACTACCATACATGTTGAAGCGTGCCTGTTTTGGTGCGGAACGTGATATCACAAAGAAAAGGAATCAAAGCTAAAGGCCCCTACGCACTGTTGCGTTTGGAAGCGTTTGATTGCGTTTGGGTGCGTTTGACTGCGTTGCGGCTGCGAGAAACCAGGACATTCATGCTTCTTATGTCGCGTGCCAAGCTATTCCTTGAATTGAATTTCTTTCTACGAAGCATCGATATGCCGGTGGCTCGCTTTGGTTTCTCGACGAAATGCAGTCAAACGCACTCAAACGCTCTCAAACGCAACTGTGCGTAAAGGCCTTGGGACGCTGAGAGCATGAGACAAGAGACGCCGTTTCACGCGTTCCAATGAAAAAGTTGGGGAAAAAAAGCGTCAAGAGGCTACGCATTTTGACGTCACCACGCAGAGATAAGTATCGCATACCCTAGGGGGGGGGGGGGGGGGGGGGGGGGTGGCATGAATCTAGCACTTTTGATTATCTTGCGGCGTTGTTTCTTCAGAACTGCGCAAAAAGATAAAAACGAGTTTTAGAATAGGGTGCCCCACAGCTTTGGGTGCCCCAAACAGCTTGGAGCGTCCCAGTGCACACGCGCAGAACTTCTGCGCATGCTCATTGCGATGCCCCATGCTGCTTGGGGCACCCAAAGCTGTGGGGCCCCCTTTTCTAAAACTCACTAAAGTCTCGGAAAACTCGTGTTTACAAACAAACCGGAGCGCCTCTAGCGGACGCCACCGGCGCCGCGCATGCGCGGGGGATGGTGGGCAAGAAGCCCGCCGTCGCCCATAAACAAACCATTGAATTGCGTTGTTTTCGGCGTCAGTGGGAGTCCCCGTGCTCTTTTTCGCGTTGGAATTGTTGATTCTACGTCCTCCTAACAATGTCTGCCTACTTGAGCGGCTTCAGCAAAACTAACGAGGCAAAACTTTGCGTGAATTATGTGACGTGTGGCGAATCATTTCACGTGGACGCCGCAGAATGGGCGCTAAAGCCTGACTCCCACGATGAGATTCTGCTTGCTATTTTCAGTCGCGACGTCGCTCGGACTGCAAAAGCGTGGACCGTAGCTGAGATGGTGGACGTCGATACTAAAAACCGCAAGTAGAATCGGGCATTACAAGTCTGTGATGGCCACTTCTTGTATCTGTTTACACTTAGCCTACTCAACCCAACCAACCTTCAAAAGTGTTTTGAGGCCTGCAATTAGTTCTTATCACAATTACCGGGTCAACATTTGGTTTACGGGCCGCTGTCGTTTGAATGAGCTGACGACAAAAAGCAGCCAAGTTTGAAAGAGCAGACGACAGTTCGAACGCATCCGTAATGGAGTACGGGCAAGAAGCACCGCGTCCCGCGTCAACAAACCATTCGAATGTCACGTTGTCGGCGTCTGTGTGAGTCTGCGTACTCTCTTTCGCGTTGGAATTGTCGATTCTACGTCCTCATCGCAATGCCTTATTACTTTAATTGCCTGAGCGAAATTATCAAGGCTCGTTACGCCGCTAAACAGTCCGTAAATAATTTGACGTGCGGTGATTCATTCGCATGAACGCCGCAGAATGGACGCCAAAACCATAATGAGATTCTTCTAGCTATTTTCGGTAGCGACGTCGCTCGTGCAGCAAAAGTGTAGAAGGTAGCGGCGATGATCGACGTCGATACTGAAAATCGGAAGCGGGCACAGACCAAGCGTAACAAGTCGGTGATGGCCACCGGTACCAATTATCAACATCTTGTATCTACTGTTTACACCGAGCCTACTTAAGTCTTTTGAGGCCTGAAATTACTTCTTATTGCAATCACCGGGTCAAAGTTTGGTCTACGGGCCGCTTTTGTTTGAACGAGCAGACGACAAAAAACAGACAAGTTTGAAAGAGCAGACGAAAGTTCGAACGATCAGGCGGCCGTGTGAATTTGAAGACGCACTGAACCCGTGGGTGGTCCGGACAACTTGGGGGTTTTCTCTCGTTCATCTTGGAACAAAGCAAATACATCTGGCGACCACAAAGTGTTGCCCTCACACGCAATCGTAGTTCGACAGCGTCTGGTTTGCCCCTTTCACGGCTACTATCCACGTCCTCGGACGAACGGAGGGGGCAAAAACACATGAAAACTGATCTTCAAACCTTTCCAGACTCTCTTGGTACAGCCCCCATTGCAGCATTTTGACGAGAAGGTAGGTTTTTTGTCTCGTTTCTTCCAAAAGAACACAGGAATGCATGTCAGGCACGGCGACTTCTGCCCACCGCCCCAGACCGGAAGTGCGTCCGGCGCGCCACCACCGCGGCGTGACGTAGGAGAGTTGAGTTCCTCAACTTTGTTACGTCACGGCGCGGTGGTGGCGCTTGCGCGGCGCCGGTGGCGTGCCGCTAAGAGAGTTCCGGTTTGTTTGTAAACACTCTAAATAAAGCCCGTTAGTCTGCTTTCCCGCACAACACTTGGAGAGCCAATCACCGCAACTTACGGAGGCAGCTCGGTGAATGACAATGCCGAAACATATATTAAGACCAAAAAACGCAGTCTGAGTTGTGACATTAAGCAATGCAAGCGTGACGTTTTGCATTGCTTAATGAACCGAAAAGAGGTCAACGTAGTTCTTTGTTAATCTTTTTTTTTCTTCTTTTTGTTTTGTTAACTTAAAACAATTAAGCCCTAAAACGTTCAGACATTTAAACTTGTAGGGAAAAGGTTTATACCGGTAAAAAATTCAAGCTTTTCTCGGCAAAAAAAAAAAAAGAACACTATATATCTATATGAAATTTGCAATGTAAGGTTTTGTTCACCTATTAACACCAAACATTATACTATCTATATTGTCAAATCTAGTTGCTAAAGGCTAGACCTAACCTAACAAAACCTATTATACCTTCCAATATACTAATTAAAAGTTAATTAGTCAAAAGTAATTAGTTCTTCAAGACAAATAATTAAGACACCAATTATATCGAATAGGCTCGTTGGCAGATACCAAGGGCCCTCAACTCGTCGAACACAAAGTTGGAGCCGAAAGTTCGCGGGGCGCGCCGATTGGATGTTGGCGACAAAAGCGCCAAGTCATCGTCGTGATTGTCCAATCGGTGCGCTCCCTCAACTTCGGCCCCAACTTTGTGTTTGACGAGTTTAGGGCCCCTATACGACTTCAACTTTGTGTTCTGTTTGATGCGTAGCTTTCATGGGAACGATTTCGCCGGCGTTCCGTGAAACGCACGGCAGGGTGTTTCAAGGGGGTTGCACCCACTCTAAGAAATGTTTGTGAGTTTACTTTTTGCAGAGCACGGAGACAGCCAATCACGGCGAACAGTGCAAGCATCTCAGCGAATGACCAAGGTCATTGCACATCTATGCACTCAACGTGTAATGCAATTCACTTTGAAAAATACATTGCGCGGTAACAATTACCAAGTGATTCCGTCATGCTCATCATCCATGCGCACATCATATTGCTTTTGTCTAATCATATTCGGAGCGTCGTCATTCGCTGGGATCTTTCTATTGTTCGCCGTGAGGGGCTGCCTCCGTGTTCTACAGAGAAATTAACCCACGAACCTATAGAGTACCTCAGACGCTGTTAGCTCTAGAAACAACGGCATCCCGCACACACCGGTGGGGAGCTGTTCCAAATAAATCTGCATAAACTTTTTTTTATTTGTTGTGGCGCTTATGACGTGTATTAAAAAAAAAAAAAAAACACCTAAGTTTTCTTTTTCGCTGTTTTTTGGGTCCATTTAGATATGCAGCAGATAGGTCGGCATGTTACCGAGTAAGCGCAGCGCGCCTCACGGTTCTTTTACTCGATGACACAGTAATGGCGGATTTTGTGCGCCACGGATGCTGACTTTTAAGGAGGGGTAAAGGGGCTGGTTGTGGGTGATTTTTAAGAGTCGGGATTTTCGAAAATCGGAAGACAAAGCGGGGATTTCGGGGTGGAGGTTTTTAGTCATTCCCATCTGTCTATTGGGCTGTCGAAGACGCTTTAAGCATGCGCAGTAGCTCTCCTCTGCGCAATACCGGACGCTGCGCGTACGTCGACAGCCCCGTGACTCGGCATTTTTCTCCTGAATGATAAACCTTGAAGGTGTATAGGCATTGCATCATTTTGTGAACCAGCCACCCACCGAACATGTGTGAGCTGCCCCTAAATGTTTTAAGATTCGGGATCGTAGGAGCGAATTCCAATGCCCTGATACGCTTTCACCAGGTGCTGTGGGACGGCAAGGTCTACGACGCCGGAGACAAGAGCCCCGACACCGTGGCCATTCGGAGGATGAACGAAAAGCTTAAGAAGGACACCCGTGTCGACATCAGCATGTTGACCGTCGGGGATGGCCTTACTCTGGCCCTAAGGAAGTAAACAGCGACATCCGCCGTACACTCTAAGCAACGCCTGCACGTCTACTTATCCGCAAAACACTCGAAGAGGCAATCTCTGCGATCTACGAAATCAGCTCAGCGAATGATGAGGCGGAACATTCGTTTAGACCTAAAAATGAAGTCTGCGCTGTGTCATATTACGCCATGCAAAGCGTCATGCTTGCATTGGACAATGCCACAGCGCACCTAGCAGAAAACTGGGTTGGAGGATTCTGAGAGTAAAAAAATGTTCGCACTCGAAAGGAGATAAAAGAAACGCTTTTGAACGAGCTTGGGAGCGAACGTTAAAAGGGTACAGAAAGGAAAATAAAAATATAGGGAAACTTTTCCGAAATGGGTGAAGTATGACCTATGATATCTGTAAATGACACCCGCACGTTCGTTTGTTAAGCGGATCGCTATACCGTACTCACTCGAGTTTATGAACAAGGACCCTGCATCTACTTTACATATACAGCCAACCATTGCGTTGGGCATAAATAACATAGCGAATATAGCCAGATCGAGAACACGATACATCATACAAATGCAAACTTCACAGATGGTATCTTTGCACGAAGACGTTATCTCCGTCGTGTAAACAGCTGGAACCATGCTGTCGATCGCGGTGATTGGCAATCTGCGTGCTCCGGCCGCCAAAAAGCGAACCCTCAGGTTTTCTTCATAAAAAGTGCGGCTATCACTCGAGTAAATACGGTATTTTCCGTTTCAAGCCTTCGATTCTAGCGAGCGCTTCAAAGTCGGCCATCGAGGCGTGCGATGCATCATGGGAACTCCGTCGCAGTCGTGACGTCAGACTCGTCAGCACAGCCAAAAGCTGGAGTGATTATGAGCGCCGCCACGTGATGGCTTTTGCGTGTTACAATATCCCGCTTCGGAGTGGCGGAGGACTGTGTGCACAGCTAGCTGCACGACGACCGTCCTGACGTATTCATTTTGGCACTTGTAGCCTACGGTGCGTTCCCCCTTGATTTAAGTGCTCTAGAGGACGAGTATTTCGACTGCGAAGGGAACTCGGAAGATGTCAGAGAGGACGAGTAGTAACTCTCGCACATGGTGACGGACACGCGATTCCGGCTAGAACCGTACGAACCATCCGACAGACCGACTGCCCGCCCAACGAATTCTGAAGGGGATCGGGGTCGCCAAGAAATGCCTTGCATTTAATAATGATTGGCCAAGTTTGAGGTATGCGGTATTAGGTGTTTCATTAACAGCGACCTCACTCACCAGTTTGCTTCGCTTTTCGTGCGGTTCGCTGAGCTCTTCGGCTTTTCGTTTCTTGGAAAAAGAACGTCGACACAACCACTGATAGCAACATAATATTCTTGGTAGGAAGACCCAGACTCCTGAGGACAGTGGGTCGCCTTTCATAGTTCTCATCGCGAAAGTGGTGACCGTACAGGCAACCGGTTTTCACCGGCGCCTTGAGAGGCTTCATCAGTCCGTATCGTTGGCATGCGCTCTGAACTAAGGTAAAGCGAAGCAAATATTCAGATCTTAGCTTTTTACAAGCCAAACCAACAAAAATCGTCTAGCACGCCCCAGCCAAAAAATAAAAAAAATAAAAATATTGCGGTTTTATTTTTATTAACTGGAGATCTTTTTACGTGGAACTGAAATCTCAGATTGGCATCCGTCAGATTGTGGGCACCTCGGTCGGTATTCAAACCCGACAAATAGGGATTCATAGGCCAGTGCGTTGGCTCAGAGACACTGAGACGTTTTAATGTTTTGTGTTTTGTTTTAATATGATTGCCATCTAAAAGCCACCGATGTTGTTGTGAAACAAAATATGGTCAAACCATTCCGACAAGCATAGTTCGATTGCGAAAATGATTTCTGCAATTAATAAAACCATTAAATTAGATTTGCACACGTGGCCGAATCCCAACTGGCAAAATCGCTTTCACGGCGCCCATTGTTAAAACAGAAGTTCGGGCGAGTTGGTAGTTCATGACGCACGAGGACACAGCGCACCCGTAACAAACACTCAACGTTCACAGTCACACCAAAAGAAAGGGACTCTTACACAGCGCTGACTTCAACTCTTTGTATATTCCCGCCTTTTCTCTTCATAGCTCTTATGACGTCATCATAGCTCTTATGACGTCATCAGCTTCTTCGATCAAAATAGCGACCTAGATCTAAGAGCATTCTCCATCGATATCAAGGATCTCTACTATTCCCTGCCCCAACCCCATCTCCTAAGGTGTATCGAGGACTGCATAGACACATATGGCATTACCGCCTTTCAGAATGCGGCAGGCCTATCCCAAAGCAAATTCTTAAACTTACTTGACATCTATCTAAAATCTACCTTCGCCACCTGGGATGGACATACGTATCTACAGAAGAGAGGGGTGTGTATTGGTTCGTGCATTGCACCTATCCTCAGTGACCTGTATCTTGCACACCTTGACAGGAATTTAAACCAAACACTCGACGGGTCAAAAGTTAAAAAAGTATTCAGATATGTCGACGATTATTTAATTGTCCTCGCCACCGATGACCAAAATCTGACAGCCTCGGTACCAGACATTCTCAACAATTTCAAAAGGTGCATGAACCCATTGGAGGTTACCCACGAACTTCCAAGTGAAAGAAGTTTAAGATTCTTAGATCTTCGTCTTTGTACGTCACCGTACCATACGTGCTGGACTTACGAGCCAAGGGGAAAGAAGCCACTTCTGCCATTCAACTCAGCGCATTCAAAACTCGTAAAGAGAGGCATAGCGCGGTTGTGCCTTAAGAACTCTCTTACGAAGTCATGCTTCCATTCCATCCAAAGGAGCTTTGATGGGCAAGTGTTGAGATTAAAACGCGCTGGATATCCACCATCCTTGTTAATATCAGTGGCGGAAGGACTTTTCAGAGATTTTAAGCATGATGAGCGAATTAAGAAAAGTCATCGGGACAGGGCAAAAAGACCAGTGATTGTGCCATATCTCCATCATTTTTCTCATGGCCTCAAGAAAATAGCAAACAAAGTAGGCACGGACGTTATTTTCTCCGCTCCGAACAAGCTCTACAGCCTGTGTAAGTGGGTAAATACTCCTTCAAGAACACCGACGTCCTGCACAACGAATCACAGAAATAAGTTCGTTCGATGCACGGAAAATGTGGTATACTCCTTCCCCCTGTCCTGTGGAAGAACATATATCGGACAGACGGGTAGGTGTTTAAACCACCGCCTTAGAGAACACAACCTGTCCACCATCAACAAGAACTCTGGACATGTTGGCATACACATTCGGGACTGTGGGTGCACAGCGGAACTTGACAAGTGTGTGGTGTTGGCAAGGAGTCGAGACCAGCTCACAAGGGAAATAATAGAAGCGGAGAACATTGCCAGACAAAACGGCAGGTGTATTAGTAATCCATCTATAGCGCTGTCACAAAAAGAGCTGGATTACTTAGCTTTGCATCATTGATCTACAGTAATTTCAATTTTAATTTTCATTTCATTTTTCCATTTAATTTTTAAATTTTAATTTTCAATTTCTGGCTTAAAACTTTTACAGTTAACCGTTAGCAAAGAAAGAAAAAGATGAGGCCTAGGTTATGCATTAGACGTGAAAGAAGAGAAAAGGCGGGAATATACAAAGAGTTGAAGTCAGCGCTGTGTAAGAGTCCCTTTCTTTTGGTGTGACTGTGAACGTTGAGTGTTTGTTACGGGTGCGCTGTGTCCTCGGGCGCCCATTGCATTTGGATTGTGTCAGGCATGTATACGGACGCAGAATAGAAGGCGTGCAAAAGCAGCTGTGGTGCACCCGCAGCCTCGCGCTTATTGTTCTGACATCTCTGGCTCGCTCAATGCGGGCATCCAGGCATCTGACACCCTAACGTCTGGAGCATTTTCTGTCTTTCACGTGGCGTTGCAAGCGGCACACGACGGCAAATGCACATCAAGCTATTCTTGAACACGTGTCGCCAACTGTATTCTATATTAAGACACTGCAACTTGCCGTAATTGAATGGCAAACATTTGAGGTCTAATAACATTCTTCACGTGAAACATATCGATATGGAAGCTCTAGAAAATCAAATATCGAAGGATGTTTCATAATTCAATGTCTCGTAATTTTGATTAGTTGACGTGATTCCGTTTTTATAACACGATAAAATAAAACATTTTCAAACTTTATTTTTTATTTTAATATATACATCATCTGTACAGTTGGTTGATTACGTTTTAAATTCATTATATCCAACCGATCGTTTACGTAAATTATCGTGGACTATGGGACGCTATAACTCGAGAAATATTTGTTTTCAATATTAGACTCTGTGGTCTATTAAAAACTGAATAATAAACTAACAACTAAACGTAATTCTAATATCGAGACATTAAAGTATAGCTGAAAAACAGTTCTTTAATTTGACATTAACTTTATGACTGTGGGATACATAAGGATAAAGTTATAAACCGTCAAAAAAGGACTAAAATGTCATGCAGGGTGGAGTTGTACCTTAAAGAGCTACAAAACCGAAATCCAGATTTCACTAAATAAGGCCGCAGAAGCCTTGATTGGGACGCTACGAACTCCGAAACATCACTCAGACATCCATATCTCAAACGTATGGCCGTACTTTTGGAAAAGAAGGGCGCGATCAAGCGAGATCTTTGACGTCATTGTCCTCCGGGAGAATTTATGAATGAGGGGAAGCGGCCTCGCTTCTCTCCTCCTCCCCTCGGTTCACCGGCTCGACTGAACGGAGCGGGGAGGAGAGGGAATGAAAATCGTGACGTGACTTGTCTCGTCGGCCTCGTCGGCCGTGTTCAATCGCGCGCTTCTTTTCCAAACATACGGCGATTCGCTATAGATATCTCGTAATGAGTGATGTTTTTGGGTTTTGGAGCGTCCCACCTATCCGTCGAGCCTTGTTTTGTGAGCTCGAAATTTCAGTTCAGTATCCCTTTAAAGGGGCCCTGCAATCCTATTTAAGCGTCTCTCTTTTTTTGCGGTTTCCACATCTCTTGTGGTTCGGGCAACCCAGCCGGTACTGATAGAGTAACTAAATATCAGTGCGTCATATTTTGACCGGACGACGCGGAAGCCTTCTCCACCTACGAGGGCGCCCCGTGGTACCGAACGCGCGCGGCATGTGTCGACATCGGGACGTTGTTGGTCCTGGCCAGCTCCTGCCTTACGACTGGTCAGAACCGCTAAAAGCTTTTTTTTAGTCGAAATACAAAATATAAGTGGTGCGAACCGTTTCAATTATTAATGAAAGTAGTTTTCTTTCAGTATTTTAGATCAGAAAAGAAACAAATGCTGTTTATAAAGTACGTAAACAAGAAATGACCCGTCGACATACCCGCCATCAAGC